AAAAAAAAAAAACAAAAAAAAAACAAAAAATGAAGAAAAGATAAGAGGGCGGAGTTTAGACGACAACGCCGACCTCCACATGTTCAGAACCGAGTTCCGGGCTGCCCACGTCACACCGTCGGGCCGACCTCGCCAGTCAACCCGCCACCACGAGTCCACGACTGGCCATTCCACCAACGAGTCTCGGACCACGACCGCAAGTGCCGAGCTCGCACAACTTCACAACACAAATTGAACGCAACCCACCATACGCATCCGGGCTGACCTGAATCGACAACCACGGTCCGACGCCAAGCTCGAACTCCAAAACGTACAACTCCGGGCTGACCCAATTCCACAGCCCGAACTTCGAGCCGACACCACGCCACAAACATCAAGCGTCGAGCTGACGCCAGCTCCTCGCCACCTCACCTCGGCGCCGGGACGACCCTCAAGACCACCGGGGCCGACCCCACGTCGTAGCCCGGATCCATCACATCAAGCCGTCTCTGGGGCCGATCTCGCAAGCCAAGTGCCAACCTCAACCCCGGACCCACATCAAGCCGTGGGTCCGACCACACCAACACATGCTGACTTCGCGAGCCAAGCGCCGATCTCAGCCCGGGTCGGCACCTTTACCTATCCCAATCTCACTACCGCCGGCGCCGACCTTCGACCTCACCGCGGCCAAGGGCCGACCTAAACATCTCCGAGTGCCGACCTCCATCGGCACCGACCTCAGCAGGGACCGAACTGGACGCCGCCGAGTGCCGACCTCCACTGGCACCGACCTCCGCTTAGCCACCAAGGATCGACCTAAACATCTCCGAGTGCCGACCTCCATCGGCACCGACCTCAGCAGGGACCGAACTGGACGCCGCCGAGTGCCGACCTCCACTGGCACCGACCTCCGCTTAGCCACCAAGGATCGACCTGGACGCCTCCGAGTGCCGACCTCCATCGGCACCGACCTCAGCAGGGACCGACCTGGACACCGTCGAGTACCGACCACGACACCGCCACTTCTCCGTCGCCGCCGGCCGATCAGATCGACAACCGTCTCGGGCAAAACACCCTAAAACTTGTGGAAAATATGAATAGATCCTTTTGCTGAAGAGAATAATGGTAAACAAAAAAAAAAAAAGAAGAAAGAGAGAAGATAGGTACTTCGATCGCCGATCTCACCCCTTTTGCACGCATATGAGCTGTAAGTCTGACCTTACCCAACTCCTTTATCAATTCTCATATATGCATATTATCAAGCAATACCTATTATTATAATAATAAGTAATTTAATATATACATATATGTGTACTGCACTTATGTATGTAATTATGTGTACTCCTAATATATATGTACTACACAAACGTGTACTGCGCATATATAAATATATATATATATATGTATATATATTGTGATAATAATTATATTTAATAAGCAATAATTAACACATGCGTATTATATATATATATACATATATAAATAATAAAATATATATGTGTATGAAAATAAAAATAGATATATACACGCATATATACATACGTAAATAAAATGTGGACCGGATCTTATTCGCGAAAGTCGAACTGAGACGGGAAGGATAGGGTAGTCGGTCTGCTGCAAGCCTTTGGGATAGGTACGACCGTTCCTCTAAAACTTCTCAGTCTCGGAAAGTCACGATACCTTCAAGTCGTGACATTATCTCGCCCGCCGTTGAGCCCAGCTCCGGCCAGGCCGGCGTCTCCACCCATCCCGGCGACGAGCCCCTGCTCTGCCGGATTGACGCCTCCACTTATCCCGGCGACGAGCCCCTGCTCTGCCGGATCGATGTCTTTACTTTGCCCGCCGTTGAGCCCAGCTCCGGCCAGGCCGGCGTCTCCACCTCTCGGCGACGAGCCCCTGCTCTGCCGGATCGACGCCTCCACTTATCCCGGCGACGAGCCCCTGCTCTGCCGGATCGATGTCTTTACTTCGCCCGCCGTTGAGCCCAGCTCCGGCCAGGCCGACGTCCCCATCCAGTCCGGCGACGAGCCCCTGCTCTGCCGGGCTGACGTCTTTACTTCGCCCGCCGTTGAGCCCAGCTCCGGCCAGGCCGGCGTCTCCACCTCTCGGCGATGAACCCCTGCTCTGTCGGATCGTCGCCTCCACTTATCCTGCCAACGAGCCTCTGCTCTACCGGGCCGATGTTATTATCTTCACTGCCGCCCCTGCACTCCTCCAGGTCGGCACCTTCACCTCGCCCGCCGACGAGCCCTTGCTCTACCGGGCCGATGTTATTATTTTCACTGCCACGCCTGCACTCCTCCAGGTCGGCACCTTCACCTCGCCCGCCGACGAGCCCCTGCTCTATCGGGCAAACATTATTACTACTACTACTGTCGCCAGACCTGCACTTCGACCAGGTCGACACCTTCACCTCGCCCGCCGACGAGCCCCTGCTCTATCGGGCAAACATTATTACTACTACTACTGTCGCCAGACCTGCACT